TCTGCTTTATTTTTTATACTTGTGATAGTGGTGGGGTGTCTGTTTGAATTTGTGCTATTTTTATGGCTTTTGAGATACTAGATGACATAAGCTTAGAGTAGAAGAGCAGATTGAGAAAGACAGTATTTACCAGGAAAGACAGAGAAAGATGGAGAGAAGTTCTAACAAAGTGAGGCACAAACCAAGAGAAGATGCTGTGGGCCGAGCTCTGAGGAGGCAGGCATACACAGAGAAGGGGAATTCCGTGTTGTGCTTTGGGTTGTTTATCCTAAGCGCCTCTTTTAAAATTGTTTTAAAAATAAGCATAATCTGATATATTTCAGATGATCTATATAAATCATATTTTTTCCAGAATAAAGTGCTACATAAAATTTATAATTGAGGGTTTAATCTTAATTTTCAAAGAAATACTATATCCAAGTTAATGTAACATTACTTTCTCAGTGAGTGATACTGGGATTTGAGGAGGCTTGTAATAACCTATTGGAATGGTGTGAGCCTTTATTAACCTCATTCAGTGAGATGTGATGTTTTACCCACACGAGCTGGTTAGCATTTACAGTAAAGGGCACTTACACTGAACTCTTAATACTTATCTTTATTATGAAAGTGTTTCCAAAGTAAAATGATCCTCATAATTACGATTGCTTCCAGAAATCAAGAATGAATACTTATATTTTCATATAAAAATCAGTAAAACACAATAACAATACACAAAATAATTCTAATTGGCTAACAGTATTTCATTCCATTTCTGACAGAGATGCTCAAGCACTGAATTGTCTTAAGAAAACAAGTAAGGTTTTGTTAACTATCCTATTTCTCACTGCAAGTTGAAAAAAATCAAATCCAAACATCACCACCCCTTCCATGACAAGTGGCTATGGAGGTAAATGACTATGTGGGCAAAGAGTTGATGAAAATCATGAGCTTAGGGGCTTTATGAAACTTTGGGAAATCAAGCTCAGAGGTTGTTTTCCACTCTTAAATTAATGAAGCTCTAAGTTAAAGTTCCAGAATCATCACATAACTGTTCCTATTCCATGGCTAGTTTCTTTTTTTGCAGCTAATCTTATTTTTTTAAGGGTAGGTTCACGATGACAGTTTTAAAAAATTACTGTGGATAATAAAGATAAAAATGTCTCAACAAAATAGAATTTTTCACTGAACACAGAAACCATCTCAATAGTTGTTTCTCCGTGGTTTCTAGGCCCTGCAACAGACACCAAACTACGAAGCCAAACTTTCACGAACCTGTGTTAAGAAAACACATATGGGCATGATACATTTTTTTTTTTTTCCAGAAAAACGGAATTAGGCAGAGAAGGAAGTGTGGATATACAACTGATCCACAAGCTATTGGGAAATCAATAGCTAAAAAATGTCAATACCCGGCTTCCTTTTATCAGGAGTTCCAGGAGGCTGAAAGGAATGTGAATGCATGAGATAAGCGAGACAGAGACACTGTCCCCTCCCATCCCTTTCTGGGCAATCTCCAGAATGCCTAGTTTTGTGGAGATACCATGTACTATCTGGCTGCAGATACTTTCTTAGATATTGTGGGGTCTTAGCATGTGGCCATGTGGTAATGCATTCCTCTCAAAGGCTTTGTGTTGAAGTCAAGTTGAAAATACCTGGAAAAGACTAGGCTTCTCCTTTGGGTGTCTGTGGAGCCTATTAAAAATATTCATGATGCTGTATGTTCTCCAATACAGTTTTCTTCATGAAAACAAGCATCAGTAAACACTATATCTAAGTGTTTAATTAGAGGGGTTCCAGCAGCAGCGTGGATGGGCCTTCTCAGCAGCTACTGAGTGCCCCCTAGAGGTGGGGAGGGGACAGTACACACAAAGGCAAACCACAGAGCCCTTTTCTGGCCCCTGAACCAGTTTTCTGGCCCCAAACTATGAAGAGCTTAAATGAGGCCAGTGAACCAGTCAGCTCATCACTATGGGGTGATTTGAGAATGGCACAATTTCATTTTGCCAAAAGAAAACTTCACCATCTCTGGGGGCTGCAATATCTTCATTTAAGAATATTTTGCTGCATTTCCTTCAAGGGTGGCTTGTGATGATTGAACTGTTGATTATTCTTCCTTCCATGGACAGTATGCTAGTGGCTAGTGGAGTAACTGGGGCTCACTGCAATTTCTCTTTCCATACAAGTTGCTGGAAGTACAATGTGATCACTTTTCCAGCAGGCTGACTTCAATTTGATTTTTTTCTTATTTGAATGTTAGAAACATTTCAGGGCTATTATTTATCTACAAAGCAGAAATCAGCCAAAGGCAAAAGAAAAAAAAGTAAGCTAATCAGAACCCGAAGACCTCAAATAGCACATGAAATGTAAACATTTAACCTTTTTTTTTTTTTTATTTCGAAAGCCTCTCTGGAGATAATGACATCACCACATATACTGATAAACAATCTTTTAATACCTTTGGAATTATTCTTCATAATTTTTTTTATTCTTTATAATTTTTATACTTCAAATTAAGAAAAACACTCAAATGTTCAGGCAACTTTGGCATTAATGTTTCCAGGAAAGGGACAAAACAACTATTAATGCAAAATCATGAAGAGATTAGGGTCAATCGTGGATGTCTATAAAGCTCTCTTTGAAAAGCTCTTTAAAGCAAACTCAGGTAAACGGAAATGCAATCTCACTTTTTACTTAGGCTAAATAACAATGAGGTTTGAATACAAAGTGGAAGATTCAGGCCCTTTCTACCTAAGATGAAGGCATTCAGTTTGCTCAAATTCAAACTCCATCAAATACTCAGAATGGAAAGTCTGGCAACAGAACTGGACATGTGGAGGTTCACCCACCATTCTGATCCAAGGTGATCTGATTTTATCTTGCTTCTTGCCTACCCTTTCTGCCTTGTTTACCTGGACCAGACGCCTGTGGCATTATGTGATGAGACCTCTGGATGCCATCTGTCTGGCAGCCCAGCAGAAGTAGGATGCTAATAAAACCCTAGGGTAAAGCAGCAAGCATTTGCATTTTTAACACATACACTTGAATAATCCAAATGCTGATAGTTGCTTCCCTATGTGCAACATCCACAGGACCAAGTTTGGAAAAGTGAACTTCAGTTGGCTTCTATGTTGACCTTAAGTGCTCTATAACCTGCACTTAGCCATATTTAGCTCTCTGGTAAGAGGCTGAAAAGATTCTACTACCTTCACGTGTGCGAGGAGCATGACCAGGAGGCTGACAAACAAGGAGGAAGTTTCTATTGTACCTGGGGAATGGGTTTTATGAAAAGAATATTGGTAAGGATGAGTCAGTGATATTTTGCTTTTATCACTTTTTGGAGAAACATACATATATATACAAAGAACACATATTTTATATCATTTATTGACCTGAGGCCAAATTCTCAATTTTCTACTTTCCCCCCACTAAGAGATCCAGAAAAGCTATTCACATTGGAGAATAAAGTATTACTTATTCTCGAATCCTTTCTACATACTTCTTTGTGCCCTGGGAAGGTTTGAAGGTGACCAGGAAGAAGGAGATATCAACACAGGCTAAGTTAATCAGCGAGAAACAACACTCTCACTAACCTATAGTTGAATTTACAAACTATACTTCAAAACTATGGCCTGGCACAGGGAGGATGAGAAACTGCATGTATTTTTCTCTCTCAGCCTTCTCAGGCTACCACAGGAAAGCTATAGACAGAGATATATTATTCTATACCATGAAAAGCCTGCAAACCCCATTTTAATTAGCCCAAAAGAACTCTGCCCTAAAATGCAAAATGAAATAAAAACCTATAGATAACATACAGGACTGTGTTAATGCCATCAGTTAGAGAGGCTCCAGGTGGTCCCAGTTCTCCTTCTACTGAACTTCTTTGGGGGGAGAGGCACGGGGGCGGGCATGATTATTTAGATTTGTCTTTGGTAATGACAGATCCAATTGACTTCATTTTGTGCAATTCTTCTAAACCTTTCATTTATAAGCTGATCTCTTTGAAATTCTTCTGTGCTCAAGTGTCATATAATCAAGACTGTGGATCCCTAAAGTTAATTTTACCCATTGAGAGGACTTGCTCCAGACACTAAAGCAAGCTAAATACGTTCATGTTTTAATTACCAAACTTTCACCTTCTCAAAATTTTCAGCTACTTTATATATATATATATATATGTATATATATATATATATATACACACCTGCATTTTAGCAGATGTTCTGATGACAAGTACTTCTATGATTGTTTTTACAAACTCAGCCACCCACAAATTACACTCCTAGACATATGTCTGTGTTGTGAAATAAAATATCTGCGCTCTACAAGCAGAATTATTTGCATCGTTTTCTCAATAAACAAGCAGACGGATTTTTAAGCCTCTTCAATTATTACTATGGACCACAACAGAAACATATTATTTTGTAAATAAGTGGGATAAGATATACTACAGTAATAATTTTTTGTTTGGGAGCATTCTTTTAACTATTAACCCGCAGGCTGCAAATTGTGGGCACAGAGCCTTAATTTTTTCAAAGAATCAAATGTGAATGGTTCTAAGCAGGATATACACACTCTGGTAGTTCTGCACACTTGTTAGTATTTCTGCTGTTGTCTTCACCACCCTGATTCACACATTTATATAACGGCTTTTTTGTTTGGGACTCCTGTTTTAGGTTGATGGCCTTCTTGATTTCTGAAGGATTTATAATCCCTTTTTCCTCTTACTAAAAGTTAGAAGAGATAAAATCTTTGGCCTATGTATGGTTTTCTTATCTGTATATAAATAACGCTGCTGTGTAGGAGACTTATGGAAGCTTATTCTTCAGTAATTTTCCTGGTTGATATTGCCATTGTCCAATAGAATTTTTCATTTTTCCAGAAATAGCCCCATTTGAAAAAAACTCCTGGAAACCAAACAAGTCTTCAAAGAAGCATCGGAGTGTAATGCTGCTCCGTGTCTAGTAACAGGAAAGTCATTTGCATTATGTTTAAGGAGAAAAGCAAAGGGTAAAATAGACTTTCTCCCATTGGCTTTATTTTGCTCAGCAAAATAAAAACATCGACATCAAGTACTAGATAGGGCTTTTTCTTGAACGCTGGTTGCATTAAAGTGCTTTGCACTGGAGAGGTAATCTTTATCAACTCTTGAAAGATTTTTTTGTCCCCAAATATACTTAGCTTCTTTCTTTTATAACATGACAGAAAACTGCACTAATTATAGAGTAGTGGCAAGCCTGGCTGTAATCAGCTGCTCTCTTTATGTTATTCCCAGAACACAGGACAAATTCCCATTCTTAACAGTGATTTCCTTGTTTATAACTATAAGCTTCAGAGAAAATCCTCCTTCAGAATCAGAGCACTGACCTCAACTTAGAGAAAAACAAACATACACTGTAACCTACAAGGTTAACCCTCAACTAGCTATCACACCCACTGAAGAAATCTTGGCTGTGTGCACAAGAAATGAAATCTATTTCAAAGCAATATAAAAACCACTCAAAAATGTCCTCCAATAACCATCTTCTTTAATTTGAACTGCTAATCGACCATGAAGAGTGAAAATTAAACACCTAGTTCGTTCGGTTTAAATGGTCACTGAGACTGTATAGGCAATTTCAAAATGGGCACTGTAACACAAAGCAAACCTATTTAGAGCTGAACGAGAATCTTGCACTGGGTTTTCCTTGCTCTAAGTGACAAAGTAAGCTGATGCTCATAGCACATTGGACTACAGGAAGAGAAAGGGGGAGAAGCAGATGGAGCATCTCCTTCACTGTCATGAGCCCAGTGAGTAAAAGGAGTGAGGAAACCATCTTTTGTCCACAGATTTACAAATACAAAAAATAAATAATATTCTAAGACAGTACAAATGCAAATACTGTTCCCTGTGTCAATTACATACAGCATGCCTACATAGAATGATAATTCTTCATTCACAGACAGGACACATGGCAGTGCACTATTCAAAATGCTTTGATAATCTTAATTTTTGTTTCTGGTGCTGAGATATTATGAAAGGAACTGCATTTGCAACTTATTAAATACTTCCAGGAACAAATAGTTCACTTTTCTTGGGACTTGTAGTTTTGAGTAATTAATCATCCATGGAGCAGGAGCCAGTCAGGAGATACCCGTTGGTGCCACTGGTGCCATTGGTGGTTGTCGCAGTGTGGGGATTCTTCCCTGGAGGTTCCGAGTCCTCATCATCTGAGCTAGACTCAATATCACTTCGATCATCCTTGGACACCTGTGGAGTAGAAGCAGGTGAGTATAACCAGCACCTAAGAAATCATCAAGGTACAGCATGCTAGAAGCACATGCAGTCATACACAAAGGTAAACAGATCCCAATGTTAAAAAAATTAAGAGGCTGAGAACATTGCCATACCAATAAGTTCCCCTTCACTGGAGGGACAAAATGTAGGTGACAAAGTCATTTATGAAGGAATGTAAGTATCATGGAGGGCTAGACTTCTGAGCTCTTTAAGCTACCTTTCCATATTGAGAATGTACTAGACCATGAATTCAGCTTTTACTCAAAAAGTAGCATACTGTGCCACTGGAATGGCATCAAAGGAATTTGGTACAAATGGGTCAATTTACTCATTGATGATCACATTCTCCTTGAGAATAATTTAAAGTCACCTCTCAACCACACCAATGGAGACAGTTACTAGCTCAGAACATTGGTTAAAAAAAAAAAATCCCAACTTGGCTTTGTAATGCATTGTTTTATGATTATATTTTTATTTTTTGTATGCTATAATTAGAATTTTGTTTTATATGTCACACAACAAATGGCAGCAGGAGGCATTTTTTTTTTTTTTTTTTTGAGTCAGAGTCTTGCCCTGTCACCCAGGCTGGAGGGCAGTAGCATGATCTCAGCTCACCACCACCTCTGCCTCCTGGGTTCAGGTGATCCTCCTGCCTCAGCCTCTCAAGTAGCTAGGATTACAGGTGTGCTCCATCACACCTGGATAATTTTTGTATTTTTAGTAGAGACAGGGTTTTACCATGTTGGCCAGGCTGGTCTGGAACTTCTGACCTCAGGTGATCCACCCACCTCATCCTCCCAGAGTGCTGGGATTATAGGTGTGAGCCACCGCACCTGGCCAGGAGGCATCTTAAGAACCTGCTGGGTGGGGTGGAGCTTAAAATATTTCCTGAGGAAAATCTGAGTAGATCATCAAGAACTAGCTCCCATCCTGCCAAATCTCTTCAATCCTCCATTCAATCTCACTAAGTCACATGGAGGTCAAAATAAGGTGAGACGATTTAAATCTGTACATTACCATAAAGGCTGACAAAAATCCTACTGTCTAGCAAGGAAGTAATTTTTGGGGGGAAATTAAGAAAATACGGCTTTTAATATAAAAACAGTTTGAACCTCCTATTCTGTAAGTCTAAATTCGGGTAACCATTTTTACTCAGCAGGCCTTAAGATTTTTGATCACTGCTTATATTTTTCAGTGGCGTGACAAAAGAGACCTGGTGGCGTCCCTTCATAGGAATTTCCCCAATCTGGTCCTCCTGTGATTCTTACAGGAGGGCTGGGGAGGTTGGCAAAGTCTCTTGGGAGGTATGGCAGAATTAACCGGGGCTTTCCCATATCACATCTTCTCTGTGCTACCACTACACTCTAACATGAGAACTCTAGACTCCCTCCACGCTGCCCAATTTGAGAAACTACAGTTCCTGGGGAGAAGGTCGTATCTCTCAGGTGGGTGGGGTCAGAGAAAGTAAAAGCTGAGAAGTACTGCTTTATGCCAACCAGTGGTGATGACGTAAATATCGCAAAAGTGAACCTCACTCCAATGCCCTCTGAGACAGGACTAAACTCACAGAGGCCATCTCCAAAAAGATTTAGATACTCAGACTCCAAAATGGCTAGATAAAGATAACTGAACTTAAACACTGTGAGTCACAAAGCCAGCATTATAGCAAAGCTCCACTATGTTAAGTCCATTAGTCATAAATAGAAAACTCCAGATTGACAGTGATTAATTTACATTTACATGCTTAGTCAGATTTTTAAAATTGCACTTAGAAAAATCTATACTTACGTTACCTTCAAAGAAAGGACAATTTAGAATATCTTAAAATAGCCCATAGAAAGATGACCCATGGCCAAGACGAACCTTACTGTACCAGGTGAGAGCTGCAAGGGCAGCTAAGATATTCTGAAGCCTGAGATCTAGAATAAAATTAATCATCAACTCTCTTCATAAAGTGGAAGGAATACGCTGAAGAGCAGGCAACATGTCTGGTAGAAATAGCAATGCAATTAAGGACACAAGTAATCGAATCAGCAGCATTCTTGCATAGTTATTGATACATTGACAGTTTTGTGCATGTTGATTAAATTTGTATCCAAATGAGGACAAGAAGATTTTAAAATAGAAACGTTCATTTTAAGGAGTGAGAGGTCACACAGAAAAAATGAACTTTAGCTTCTAAACAATTAGTTGATCAAAATATATAGGATTTATATTAGAGCTGGTGCTTAGAAGTGGCTTCATAGGACATGACTAGATGCCCTGACTTTCCCTGCAGAAGAGGCCAGCTCTGATGACCTTGCTGAGTCAGAGTTGTCAGGTACCACTACCCTGTCGCCCCGGGCAGGTCAGGCACACAGCTGATGCGGATGCTCAGGCTTCCATTCTGCTCTGTGTTGATCCTTTTCCCCCTCCCCAACTAGCTCTGTTTCTCCTACTTTACTTTGGTCTATTTCTGTCTTTTAGCTAACACATTAAACACCAGTGAAAGAAATTCTTCCTCTCTGTTGGATCATGCAACATTTAGCAGAATACAAGCTCACACCAAAGGGCCTAACAGAGCTGTCCCTTGCAGTTCATGGAACTACAACTCACACGAAGCTTCTAGCCAATACCAATAGGTTAGACAGAACAATATGCACGGAAACAAAAGCTCTGAGTGCCTCTCCAACAGGCAAGAGGCACTCAGGACAGGGATAGAGACAGAGGAGAAACTTACATGTAAAGGGTTCCACTTCCCAGCCTTCCAGGGTAGCAGAAGGAAGAGAACAAACAAGAAAAGGTCACAGAGAACGATCTGGAAAAGTCTCTCTGCTCTACACAGGGATTGGGGGAGGGGGACCTAGGAAGCTTTATTCAAATCAATCTCAAATCCATTTTTAACCAAACAGATTTAACTAAATCTTGCTGAAAGTCATGAACAGATTTATTTTTCAGTATGAAAGAAAGATTTGTTTAAACAGGCATACTGTACCAAGTGATCCTTCTCATAAAAGGCAAGAAGTAATTAAATTTCTGTTCTGTAAAAATATAATCAGAGGAGGTCCAAGGTTGACAGGAAGAGGGAGAGAACACAACAAATAATACGTTATTAAGTCTAAAATTACAAATGCACATCATTGGGTGCCATCGCCAGCAAAGGAACGCTAAAAGAGAAGGAAATGACATTTTCGTTTATGTTTCTAGGTGGTTTTGTTCAATTCTTAAGAAAGAATGCAAATTTTGATGAAATATGACACAGTAAATAGTTGATCCAGAGAAATTACAAACACAACCATTTCTAAGACATATTGGAAAAAGTGAGTTGTAGCTTACCTTGCCTCTTGAAACAGCTTTGCAAGCTATTTTCACAATCAAGTAAGACCAGAAGCAGTTCAACCCTTGTACTAGCAAGAGCAGTAGGTTAAAAACCCACCAGGAAGGGTAAGGTCCAACGATCTCCCAGCTTTCAAATAATGTGGTATTTAACACCCTAAGGAAAAGAAGAACATGATTACTGAATGTGGCATTTTCCTTTGCTTTTCAAGGAACTCTAGTCACTGCATACAAGCACAAGGTCAACAATATCTCCCGACTACACCCTCTCTGGCAGGATGGTATGAAAGTTGGCCAGGTACTTAGAAATGTCATTTCCTGAAGAATTACCTTGGTGGTGTGACTTTCATTTGGTTTTAGGTTGAATAATGTATTTTTCCCTATTGACTTCTTTAAAAATTATGATAAATATGAAATTGACCATCTTGACTTTTTAAAGTGTACGGTTCATTGGCATTAATGTTGTGCAACCATCACCACCATTCATGTTCAGTACTTTTCATCTTTCAAAACCAAGATTCTGTACCCATTCTTCTAGCCTGCATCAACCACCCCTCCTTCCTGTCTCTGAATTTGACTACTTTAGGTACTGCATAAAAGTAGAATCATATAGTATTTGTCCTTTTGTCACACGCTTGTTTTATCTTCAAGGTTCATCCATGTTGTAGCATGTGTCAGATTTTCCTTCCTTCTTTAGACTGAATTATATGTATATACCATATATATTTATGTATGTATTTATGGTACTTTAGGTTCTGCGGTGCATGTGTAGATCATGTAGGATTGTTGCTAGGTACATACATGGCAAGATAGTTTGCTGTCTCCATCCCCCCATCACCTACACCTGGCATTTCTATGTTATCCCTCCCCAACCTCTCCACCCCCTGCTGTCCCTCCCTTTGCCCCCCAACAACAGACGCCAGTGTGTGATGCTCTTCCTTCCCTGTGTCTGTGTGTTCTCATTGTTCAACACCTGCCTATGAATGAGAACATGTGGTGTTTGGTTTTCTGTTCTTGTGTCAGTTTGATAAGAATGATGGTTTCCAGATTCATCCATTCCCTACAAAGAACATGAACTCATTCTTTTTTATGGCTGCATAGTATTCCATGGTATATATGTGCCATATTTTTTTTGTCTAGTCTATCATTAATGGGCATTTGGGTGGCTCAAGGTTTTTGCTATTGTAAACAGTGCTGCAATGAACATACGTGTGCATGTGTCTTTATAATAGAACAATTTATAATCCCTTGGGTATATACCAAGTAACACGATTGCTGGGTCAAGTGGAATTTCTATTTCTAGATCCTTGAGGAATTGCCACACTGTCTTCCACAGCTGTCAAACTAATTTACACTCCCACCAACAGTGTGAAAGTGTTCCTATTTCTCCACATCCTCTGCAGCATGTTGTCTCCTGATTTATTTTTTTAATCATTTATTTATTTTTCCTGTAATCCCAACACTTTGGGAAGCTGAAGCAGGCAGAGTCTCCTGATTTTTTAATGATCGCCATTCTAACTGGTGTGAGATGGTATCTCAATGTGGTTTTGATTTGCATTTCTCTAATGACCAGTGATAGTGAGCATTTTTTCATATGATTGTTGGCCTCATGTATGTCTTAAAAAGTGTCTGTTCATATCTTTTGCCCACTTTTGAATGGGTGTTTTTTTTTTCCTTGTAAATCTGCTTTAGTTCTTTGTAGATTTTGGATATTAGCCCTTTGTCAGATGGGTAGATTGCAAAATTTTTTTCCCATTCTGTTGGTTGCCAGATCACTCTAATGACTGTTTCTTTTGCCATGCAGAAACTCTTAAGTTTAATTAGATCTCATTTGTCTATTTTGGCTTTTGTTGCCATTGCTTTTGGTGTTTTAGTCATAAAGTCCTTGCCTATGCCTATGTCCTGAATGGTATTGCCTAGGTTTTCTTCTGGGGTTTTTATGGTGTTAGGTCTTATGTTTAAATCTTTAATCCATCTGGAGTTAATTTTAGTGTAAGGTGTAAGGAAGGGGTCCAGTTTTAGCTTTCTTCACATGGTTAGCCAGTTTTCCCAACACCATTTATTAAACAGGGAATCCTTTTCCCACTGCTTCTTTTTGTCAGGTTTGTCAAAGATCAGATGGTTGCAGATGTGTGGAATTACTTCTGAGGCCTCTGTTCTGTTCCATTGGTCTATATCTCTGTTTTGGTACCAGTGCCATGCTGTTTTGATTACAGTAGACTTGCAGTATAGTTTGAAGTCAGGTAGCATGATGCCTTCAGCTTTGTTCTCATGCTTAGGATTGTCTTGGCTATGCGGGCTCTCTTGATTTCATATGAAGTTTAAAGTGGTACATATCATATTTTATCATTGAAAGAGACTTGGGTTGCTTCTACCTTTTGGCCATTGCAAATAATGCTGCTATGAACATGGGTCTACAAATAGCACTCTGAGTATATATGTTTTGGGCTTTTACCCAGAAGGGGAATTATTGGATCATACATTTCCCCCTTCACTTTTGCCATCATTTCTTCCATTAATTTTCATTCATTTTTTGGTTTCTGTATCTACTTGTTAAAAGGCCTGTATGGTCTTCGAAGTTGCTTTTGGGCTTTAAATAAATGCGAAGAATGCCAGTCAATGCCTATAAACTGCAAGAAAAGAGACTAACTCCTAAACATTAGTTAAGTACGAGCCATATGCCTAGCACAGGGCAAAACACAGTGGTTAGAATATGAGTGAGACCTAGGCTTATATCAGGTAGGAGAGTCATTAGAGGGTCCTTACTTTTGTAAGGCTTCTTCTGGAAAAGCATTGATGATTGAAATATATCATTTTGAAGTGATGCCTTGAAATGAGTATTGGAAGAATTTTTGACAAAAGTGATTAGAGCACAAGGAATGTCTTTAGTTTTAAGAGTATGTAAGAGTATGTACTTGAATTAGGAAAAATTATTTGAGGTAACTAGTTCTCTCTGTAGAGAGAACTAGAATGAATAGCTACTTGGAGCAGATACGCGAAAGGCTGGTTTTAGTGCTTTGCTCTGGTCCCTGCCTGTGTCTGCTCCTAAGCACTTGGAAGTTGACGCAGATCATCTGGCCCCATGTTGCTGCCACAGAGAAGCATAGCACCTGCGTAATTTTGGAACCATCCTTTCTCTCTGCTCTCCTCCTAGCTTACCCCAGGGATGGTTGGGAGACACACAAGGAAACTCACCTACAGGCATTTCTACCACCTGCCACTGCAGCACCTTGCTGGGTCAATCTGATTCTATAAGAGAGGCTAAGTGACAACACTTACTGGCTAAAGGGAAGGGAGAGAAAACTATTGAATTTAACACATAGACCACCCATATAAGAACAGAAGACAAATAGATAATTTTAATTAAAAGAAACTGTGATGAGAGCTTTGAGAGAGGTTAGAAAGTTCTTTATGAATTCAGAAAAGAAAAAAACAGACTGGGTGTGGTGGCTCTTGGCTGTAATCCCAGCACTTTGGGAGGCCTAGGTGGGCGGATCACCTGAGGTCAGGAGTTTGAGACCAGCTTTTAGTAGAGACAGGGTTTCAACATGGCGAAACCCTATCTCTACTAAAAATACAAACAAACAAAAATTAGCTGGTGTGGTGGCATGCGCCTGTAGTCCCAGCTACTCAGGAGACTAAGGTAGGAGAACTGCTTGAGCCCAGTAGGCAGAAGCTGCAGTGAGCAGAGATCATGCCACTGCACTCCAGCGTGGGTGACAGAGTTAGATTCTGTCTCAAAAAAAAAAAAAAGAAAAGAAAGAAAAAAAAAATAATTCTGCAGTTGGAATAAGAGGTAGAGAAAAAAGGAGAGGCTAGGCATGGTGCCTCACTTCTGTAATGACAGCACTTTGGGGGGCTGAGGTGGGACAATTGCTTGAGCCCAGGAGTTTGAAACCAGCCTGGGCTACAGAGCGACCCTGTCTCTATGTAAATAAAATAAAAATTAACCATGTATGGTGGCACACGCCTGCACTCTCAGCTGCTCGAAAGGCTGAGGCAGAAGAATCACTTGAGCAGGAGTTGCAGGTTACAGTGAAGCTGTGATTGTGCCACTGCACTCTGGCCTGGGTGACAGAGTGAGACCTCGTCTCAAAAAATAAAGGAAAAAGGGAATGAAAATTGAAATAGACAAATAGGTTCTTCCCCACCCCTAATTTCTGCAATCCCTATTTATGGACTAGAATGACACTAACAGTTTGTCTCCAAACTTATCTTTAAAGAGTAATACATAATAAACATGCTAAAATTCAAAAAACAATAGGATGGAATTTAATGACTTGAATTTTACAAGTCATTAAAAGAATACTACCTCATGAATACAGTTGTATTCACTCTGGGGAAGGGGGATAATATTAGGAAATCTATTAGTATTACATAGGCCAAATTGGTATAAATGTAATGATTTCAACAGCACCAAAGACACTGGTAATGTTTAATTCCTCATTGTTGATGTTTAACAATTAGAATACAAAGGATTTACCATGATTTTTTAACCCTTTCAAATCAGCATATTAATAAACACCGGAGTTACTTCCTTTAAAATCAGGAGAACCATGGACAGCCAGTATAATCATTATTATTTAACACTATTCTGGAAGCTATGGTCATTGAATATAGCAGGGAGTCAGAGACTTAATTTCAAATACATAGACATAAAATATCTATAAGTATTTTTAAAAGAGCAAATAATCAAAATGTCCTATAACAGGAAATATTAAAACTTTAGTTTTCGGCCGGGGGCGGTGGCTCACGCCTGTAATCCCAGCACTTTGGGAGGCCGAGGCGGGCGGATCACGAGGTCAAGAGATCGAGACCATCCTGGCCAACGCGGTAAAACCTCACCTCTATTAAAAATACAAAAAAATTAGCCAGGCATGGTGGCATGCGCCTGTGGTCCCAGCTACTCGGGAGGCTAAGGCGGAAGAATCATTTGAACCCAGGAGGCGGAGGTTGCAGTGAGCCAAGATTGTACCACTGCACTCCAGACTGGTGACAGAGCAAGACTCCGTCACAAAAAAAAAAAAAAAAAAAAAAAAAAAAAAAAAATTTAGTTTTTATTCTTATTCCAGAAATTACTGTTTTTGCATTTTAAAAATTTATCTATTATACTTTAAGTTCTGGGATACCTGCGCAGAGCCTGCAGGTTTGTTACAT